TAAATCGAACATTTCGATAGAAAGAGCATCATTTTAATATATTTTAAATATTTTAAATATTAAATGTTAATTATAGTAATAATATTTTAATATTTAATAAAATATTTTATTGTGATTAGACGGTTAAAATAAACAATTATAATCATCACAATATGACGCAACATTATCATCTCAGACCATTATCAAAGTGAGAACGTACCGAAGTGTTCTTGAGGCAGCCCAGTCCCTGCTCCTCGACCGAGTACATGACCAGGACCATGAGTACAGTCAACAATCCGGCCAGCAGAGGCAGCACCTGTCGCGAGCAATTTCTGCAGCGCGCCGTGCCCTGGGTCAACTTCTTGACGGCCAAGAGTCGGGACAGGTCATCGGGAGAGACGGACAGCTTCTGCGCAGTCGTCAGGATGGCGCCGAGTCTGCGCTCCGCCTCCTTCACGTTCCCTGCACTGTTGATGTTATTATTGTTGTGTTGTTTGTGACCCTTCATACTGGTTGTCCGTCTGTCCAATTTCTGAATCGAAATCTCCACTTCCCTGCTGTCAAAACTTAGTTTTGACTAACGTAATTTACATTAAAAATTCTACCACCATTTGTTCCTTGAATTTTGACAATGTGTTCTCCGATATTCGTTCGTTTAATAAACACTGTCACTCAACTGTTTCAGTTTATTACCTTTCATAAAATAGATTACGATTACTTCATTTTCGCTTGAAGCCACAATTTACATTTGTACATGTTACTACATTCGGAGACGTCATATTATTTGCCTCTTTCAACACTGTTTAATCTCTGATTTTTATTTCCTAAAAATATCGTCCAAAACTTTGTTTAATATCAAATTTATTGTGAGCGTGAAATACTTAAAATTTGTAGCTAAATGTGGATTTTGTGTAGATCTGATGCCGAGGTTTTAATATCACTTCATAATAATTTCATCTTCTTCCCACGTGTGTCCTCCTTTCACTAAAACTGGATGTAAACTAAAACGAGTAGACACAGCCTAATTAATCGTCATTTAAATTATAATATCTTGAGTTGCTTTCTTAAAACTATGAAGATAAACCATTCGATGTCTTAACAATATGTTTCTGATGGCGTATACACACATAGATTATTCGATCTCGACTTCAGTTCTGTTTTACAGACTTCATATATAAAATAAAGATTCTTTTAGCTGAAACTAACCAAGAATTCTTCAACTTTGTCTTCATTTGTTGACGCAAAATTCTTTATGAAGTGTTACAAGAATGACATAAAAGCAAAACTGAATATATCACGTATTCCTCTTGAATAAAAAGAGTAAAATACGAAATTTATTTTCCTCTATCGTCCCTTCCAGAGGTTTTTTCCAAACAAACACATTTTAGATTTTACGTTTATAACAAAATCATGTTTTCACATGTATTTTTAAACTTTCTCCTAAACTATGCACTCGAATTCATTTTAAGTTGTTTATTTAGTCTCTTGATAATCGTATATAAAATTTCACTTCATACAAACTGAGTGCAGCAATTTATATTCAGATATAAACAATTCATATTATAACCACTCGTAGGTCATAAATCGATTTGAAAATATGAAGCTTATGGTACAAATTGTTTGTAATAACAAGAAAAAAAATTACACTTTCCTCAAACTAATGTATACATAAGTAATAAATTTAATTCATTAACTGTTTCAATATCTTCAGCTCAACCACACGACTTTGTTGTGACGAACAAAAATTCTTCTTACATAAAATATCCTTAGGTTTATTTAAAATTAATATACTGAACTGTTCACAATAATTACAGTCTAAAGTAAAACTTTAGGTTTGTCATTGTCATTTCTTCGAAAAGGTTATTATATACGTCGTCCACAGCTGTCAAAACTACTCATAGCAAATTATAATTTAAATAGCACTAGAAACATTCTTTTAAAACTTCCCTTCCTATAAAGTCAAGTCTGTTGTTCAAACTTAATGTGCTTCTAACTTCACGGACTGACTTATCGAGCTGTTACAATGTTTTCCCAAGACGCTGTTTTACCAGCCCAGACTTTTAACTCACTGTGAATACTGTTCCATATTCGCTGCACATCAGATGGCGGAAAATACGGATTTGAGGTAAACTTATGCAAAGACTCCACACGAGAGACCAGCGCCGATCGCATTCCGTACCGGTCTGTAACTGCTCTATCACAACCCTCGAACCGAGTCTGATATTCAACTGTACAATCCCTCCCTTCGTCCAAGTGTTGCATGTACAGACATGCGCAGGGCTCCATACTCCACCCCTCTCGATGATCAACTTACACTAGTACCAAGACTCCGTCCTCTTTCAACGGAGTGTCCGGGAGGTTCAATCTACAACAGGCTGATTTACCGATAATGTTAAAATAATATTAATTAATTAATTAATTAATCCATTCTTCTGTTTGTTTATTACTTTATTCAGTTTTTCATATTTGTCATCCCTTGAGTCATGGCAACCGTAGACCGTTTTATTCGCTTGGAGTTGCTGAAGAAAACCACAACATATATCGATATTTGTATGCATATATATAGAAAGACACAACGCTGAATTTAAAAAGCATTTGTTAATAACAAAGAAGGTAACGTGGAATCTATTTTTAATTTTGGAAAACTTAAAACTGTCTGATACTTGCGTCTAAATTTCTGAAGAGAAATTTTTGATCTAAGCAGTGTAGTATTTTGAAACAATGGATTTTATCTGTAAAAATATGTTTTATTTTTAATAAATGAACATGAAGGCCAATTACGTACTTAAGTATCCCCTTTTAAATTATCTTTCTACTCTTCCTTCTAATTCAAGTTCATCATTAAAGCATCTACAGTTTCTTCATTACACACACATCTCTTTAGCATAACCGTATTCCTGAAACGCAAGTTTATCAGTGACCAATTTTTATTTACTTTGGTTTGTTTTCAACATAAATTTTGTGTTATTTCCTCGCGAATGAAACCTATCGGTGAAATCAGCCACGAATACATATAATTATTAATTACTATTATACTAAGATTTCTGTCTTCTGGGTTGTTGCGCTGTGTAGTCTGGTCGATGTTAACCAACGTTTCAGAGGTCATACTGCCTCCGTCATCAGGGCGATGAGTATGAAGATTTCTGTCTTCTGGGTTGTTGCGCT